CAAGCCGTCTCCAAGCATTATTAGTCTCAAAGTGGGTTCCTCGTCATCGAATTTAACAATGATGCTAAAAATTCAGCATATTTTTAGTGCCGTTGACTTTAATGCATATTTTTTAATGTTCGTTGCCTATTGATTGATTACTTTAGTGTTTGATAAAAACCAACTTCAATAAAATCATGATACGTTTTTATAATTATAACTTGTGTGACCCGTCACAAGCACAAAGCTACATAACCATGACCTAACTTAGCAATTATAACAAGCAAAAATGTAATCCAAGGTGCGTTCCACGATAAAGTCACATCAAAGATACATGACTCACTTAATTCAATTGTACTTGTAAAATGAATTGAGTTTTCTTAGTTAAGATTGGTTTAATTTTTTGTTTATTTCGTTTTTACGCACAAAGCTACACAATGTGCCATCTGGGTTCTGCCCACCACGAGTATCGAAACCCGGTTTCTAGCAGTATAAGTCCACAGACAAGTGATATTGTAATATGTTCTTTCGTTGGATTCTTTTGGATTATTTGATAAAATTATGCAAGATCCCATTCATGCAAGATTTACAATAACAAATTAATTTATTTCTTCTTTAAAGTTCATTACAGCCATGTTCACTTATACGCATTATTTCATAAATAATTTTTCTACATAAACTCTGCAACTGATTATACGGCTAACTTCGAAAACAACATTTCAATATAAATTGCAAGACACCTAACTTAATTAGCTTTGATAGATAAACAAACAAGTAACTTACTAAGTAACTGATAGCAGAAAAAAATTCAATAACTCTCAATGAATAACCTTTCTGACACTGATGTGACTGACTGTCCCTAAACTGGTTACACACCGAATACTTCACTCGTATTTATATTGTACCTTTCCTATTTCCACATGCCATGTGAATCTCCTCAATGATTACATTATTATCATGATCAGCAGCTCCCTCTATCAAATATCGAAATTAGAACATTGAAAATATAGCATACAACACTGCCCCTTACCAGGGATATGAAGTTTCTTGAACAATCCTAATACAAAAATAAAACACCACTCTAAACTGTTTATTCACAAAATGTTCATACACTCAGATCATAAAGATGTGTCGAATTAAAAGATTTAAGAATTCCAAGATGGGGATATCCCTTGAATTTAATGACATTAGGAAATAAGGGAATATAGACCAACATGGGAAACCAGGGCCATTCAAAAAGAGACCTGCAATAGGTCGTACCCCAGCCATTCTAATCCAAGTGTGGCGTCTTGTAACAGGTGAGAATCCATGAACTGAAAGGGCAGTGGCAAAAGCCATCCACGTGTCTCGACAACAGTAAACAACATATTTAAGAAGGATCTCCATTTAGAAACAAGGCTAACAAGGTATGGGTTCACCAAGAAAAGGCTCCTAGTTATATCTCCCACTCATCCACTCCATACTTCAAGCAACTGAAGAATGAAAGTAATCATGCTGTGTGTGTTTTCTTATAGCAAAGCCACATCGGGCTATCTGCTGTGTCCACCAAGGGGAATTGAACCCCTGATTTTAGTGTTGTAAATCCGAAGACTTACCGCCGTCCCACCGGAGGAACAGTATTCATGCTATTCCATACAAAAACATATTGGTGAAATTGCTAAATGTAGCACCCATGGATTTCTATGGAATTGGGCTGTTACAAAGGGCACTGAGAAACCATCTTCCTCATACACTTAGTGGGTTATGGAAAGCCTGCAGAGAGATCAGTGTGCTTTGGACATGGCAGCCTTATGATGGAGCTTTTTGCAATGAAAACTATAATGCAGGACTATATTCAAAGTGCATCAGACAGAAAATGACCAGACACGAAAACATGGACTGGAATGACTTGATGACGCTCCAACACCATTTTAATATATTTACTACCTTAATTATTACTAGACTCTCAGAATCTATTTGTTCAGAAAATTCAGCTAAAGTTAATAGAGCCAAATAGACAAACTAAACTATTCATTAAATACAACAGTTAACCTTCTTGTGGTAATGTTAATTGTAAATCATTGAATAATGGAACGAATTTTTGAATCCTGCTGAATGCCACAGTTGTAAAGTTACTAATTACTAGATTCTTATTTAGAAGAGTAGAGGTTCAGCACGTGATACATTAAACCAATGGTTCTCAATTTTTTTGTTGCCTCCCCCTGAAAATATTTCAGGCTGTGAAGACCCCCAGCATGACAGAAAGCAAATTACTCTATTTATTATCACAATACTTTTTATAATCTTGCAACCCCTCTACAATAGCCTTGTGATCCCTTTTGAGCTAGGGATCCCCAGTTTAAGAAATGCTGCATTAAACAATTAACATAACACTTATATTTAGTAACAAAACTAATGCCAAGTACCATGGCTTTGAGCTGACACTTGATTTAATGTAAGCTAAGAAAGAAAGTTTTCACTGAATGTTTGTAAAAAACTAAAACGATTTCATCACGACATACAAGAAACCAAGATAACGGTTTTTATTCGGCAGATATTTCAAACAAACAGTACAAACCATGTTCCCTATAAAGCTGTTACAAAAATAACAAAAGTAACAGTGGAATAAATAACTATTACTGTTGACCAATCCAGTTCATTAAATTATATAATGCAAGCAACTGATATTAATACTTTCAAGAATGAAGTTTTGGAACATTGTTGCATATAATTTTAATGATAAGTAACACTGAATCAATATGGCTTCTGTATGTTTATCTTTAACTTCTGTGTCCTCTACTTGAGAACAATTTTCATTTTTATAAGTTTGTAACACATTATGGTCAGTCTTATTATTTTAATTTCCTTTTTTTTTTGTGGAGGAAGTTAAATTCTGGTTTGATATACAATCCCTTTTGGGGGGTAAATTCTGGTTTTGATATACAATCCCTTTTTGGGGGGGATTCTGGTTTGATATACAATCCCTTTTTGGGGGGGTAAAAATTCTGGTTTGATATACAATACTGTTAATGTCTGTATAGTGTGTCATCTATTTTTATATCACAAAGTGAAAATTTGGTCTGGTGGTGCTTCTATTTTGACATTCACATTTTTTATTCACCATAAGATACACAACCGTGAGAAGAAAAGATCTAGAGTGCTAAAGTTTGTAACCTGTAGAGTTGGATAGCTTTGATCACTTCTCCAAAGAAGTTTTGAGGTGGTTTAACTTTAGCTTAATGAGCCAAGGTTTATGTTAACTCTCTTATTTGGGCAGATTAAATATTTTGATTTTTTAAAATCAAATATTGCAGATATTAATCATAATATAAACATTTAAATACAACCATAACATTTACATTTAATGTATTGAAAAAATAATTTCCCCCAATAATATGTTAGATTTCAAATTAGATTACCACAAAAATCCCAAATCCTCAAACTGTTCTTGATAGCACCATACTTATAGATCAAACATATCTTTTTGACTACTCGTAAATCCTTGATGAACAGCTTTATTAAGAGCTGAAAAGCAGTAAACATGAAACTGCATTTTGAAGTTTAAAAAAAGTGACATCATTAATCAACCCTTGTCTAATGTAATACACAAAAGTAAATAAGATGAACTAATATTTACACTTCTAAAGAACTTGTATCATTTGATTTAATTCACACAGAAACTTGCTACATATATATTTATTTTAACTTTGATGCAAACAAGTAGGGGAAGATTTTTATATGTAAATGAGTATATATTTACAAAACTAGTAAAAAAATAAATTTGGGTACAGAGTATAGGTTGTACAAGAACATATGACCTACAGCTTTGTTAGTAGACATACATATAGGTGGTCGAGAACCATATAACCTACAGCTTTATTAGTAGACATACATATAGGTGTACGAGAACCATATAACCTACAGTTTTGCTAATAGATGTACATATAGGTATATGAGAACCATATAACCTACAGCTTTGCTAGTAGACATACAAGTGTACAGATATGCAGAGAACAAAAATTGGTGCTGCAAGGTGACTTTGAAACAAAGTAAAATTTATTTCATTTTAGGATACAGTTACAACAATGTAAAAGTCATGTAAAATGTTCGTATCAATATGCCTTCTGTCCATTTCAACAATACGCTCAAAAAACAGTAAATCATGACAAACACAAAGCATATCTTCTATGATATATACATGACACAGTGTTAAGTATGTTTAACAATCTTAAAGATCAATCAGCGAATGAACAACCTCTGACATCAATATCCATTTATATTTACAGCAAAGCTACTAAATGACTATCACTCTTATAACATACTCACAGCTTAAAGCACACAGAATATTTTGTGGTACTGCATGAATTTGAACCCAGCTTGCCAATTCTGAAATACAGAGATTTGACATCAAACAAGTATGGCTCCAAAGTCACACTGCACCACAATATATATTTTGTTTTTCTTTGTATTTTCCACATTTATTACCCAAATCTATTTATCGGTTGTTTTTTACTTTAGTTACTAGGCACCAATTACTAGCTAATATTTATCCTAGATTTTAGTTATGACAAGGATATATTCTACGGTGGTAGTAGACAAAATTCAATCCTGGGTCTTTTTCATAGAGCAACCAAAACACAGGATAAAAAGTAGATAGCAATTACAAATAAAATTATAATTATCCCAAGAGCTATTAGCTCATCCAGGTTGATATCATTAATTATGTAGTAATTTATTCAATCACATTTAATTTAAAAAATACAATAATTTATATTATTACCTTAAAAATATTCTACATTTTCTGTAGTTAATTAAAATTATCTTACAAGCACCTTCAATTTAGTTACATTAGTTTAATATTTTGTCATTAAATGTTAATCATTAAATATTTTTGGTTCTTTTAAACTAGTGGAAGTTTACAATTTAATTATTAGGATAAACAATGTTGTAAATAATAACTTTTATCCTTTATAAATAATAATATTCTATATATATTAGTAAATATCTTACAGGAAATACTTTTAGTAAAATATAAGTTATAAACTGTTTCATTTTTATCATTATATGATATTTTTTAACAGTATTATTCTGTAATGAATCAATTGTCTTTAACGCTGTTTAATGCTCCATATTAAAATTCCATAATGAATGACTGATTGTATAAATGAGAAATAAAGAATTATTAATGTAATAGATTTTAATGAACATAAAACTTAGTGTTTTTGTCAAATCCTTAACATGCTGCTTTCAGATTCAATTTTTATCAGTTTGTAAGCCTAAGTATTATATAACATCCACTCTTTCAATTTGCAAACATTTACAAATTACAATTATTTATACATTCATTATTATGAACATACAATTTCAAATCATTTTATTTTTTAATTCAAAAAGTATATTTTTGGCCATAGTTACATAAACAAATAATTTGGTTTCACCAATTTTGTTAGTTTTAACATATACCATTACTCCCCTAGTCCTGTCTAGTTATAAAATAACTTATAACTGCCTAACTGATACCAATTTACTTTTTTTTACTTGTATCTGAGACAAACTAATACATCTACTATATTTTTCAAGTTATACATTATTAATTCAACCTACACAAATTTATCCCTACTATTTCTTATACTTGTGTGTAAGAATTCTGATTAGTTATACTACAGATAAAATATTCTCATTTCGGCTTCATCAGAGCAAATTGAAGCCTGTTTGATAAGTGTATACATTCTTTCACTTTATTTAAATCTTCTTCATTGCTTATTTTGATATTTTCTCGTGAAGATTTTTCTCTCTTTTTACTCGCACACATTTGAAATTTACATCTTTTTAAAATCATTATGCTTTGTACAATAACCGTTATAGTGTGTATGTTACATATTTGTTCAAGTAAATTTTATTAATATGAATATCTAGAAATTACAAACAATAATAGAAAAGTAATTAATTAATAATTAGACATAGACAGTCGTATAGGCTACTAACCATAACAATGACTGTATGTTGTATGGTTCTCCAACCATCTATACATTTATAACCAAACTTTTGTGCCATGCCTAATTGTAATTGTAAGCCAAATATATTTTCATTAAAAACTTTTGTAACTATAGCTAATTGAATTAAAATATGAAGATACTGGTATCAATAAAACATTCACATTATTCAACTTCAAAAACAATTCTATCCTATGATGTTTTTTACACAATTTCAGTACTGAACATAATTTAAACACGGTTTTCAGTAAGTGAAGAAATGTAGTAAATTACTTGTATACTTCTGTGTCCTTGGGTTTTCCAGAAACATTAATCATAAATAAATAATCATAGAAACAAAATAAACTTCTACACATTTCTCCAAAACCAAAAGTGGTAAAATGATAAATACAACTAAACTATTAAAATATTTCTCAAAAACTAAACCACCGATATGTTTGAGTATCATTTCACTTTCTAAAAATGTGCAGTGAAAATATATCAGATGTTTCACTTGCTACTTCAACATGAAGAAACAGTTAGTGTCGAGTTAGCAATCAATTCCTAAACTGATAAGGAACACTAACAGATACTGCCCTAATAATGTAAAATACACAGAAATATAGAAAATAAATGATATCTATTTTGTTATAACAGTAGAGATAATAAATTAAAGATATTTTTCCAAATGTATTTTTAATTTACTTCTATTTCATTTTAAAAGTGTAAAATCCAAGCTGTTTTTTAAATGTTTTGATATAAGAATACGTACATGAAAGTTGTGTTTGGAATGTCTTAAAAAATCACATTTCCTGATCTCTCATTATTAATGCTTATTATCCCTGAAAATATATACATATTTTGTTATTTAGTAGAGAAATATGTTTTGTTTTGAAAAACTCTCTCACACAAAGTTCTGTGGTAACTAAAAATATAAAATAAATTCAAATAGACAAATCACTTCTTACTTAAATATTTTACTAAGTAATATCATCACCACAATATTATAGAATTTCCCAGTCTTCCTCTTCAAATTCCTTAGTATTGGCTCTTGTTTTATTGTCTTCAAATGAAATACTATATGAAAGATGTGAGTATAGTGCACCATCATCCTTCAGCCCCCACAGATTATCATCCACCGTCACTGAAAGAAAGTATCACATTTCTAGAATGTAACAATATTGAACAGATGGGTAACATCATCATTAGAGAACCATCAACCCAGTTTCAATACACAAAGCCTAAGTCTGTTATAATGACCAGATCCACCAATTGTAGAGTCGAGCAATTAACTCGATTATTTATAGACATCAAATAGTATCATCAATTAATCAAAATTATGATTAGATCATGAAAATAATGAAGTATTATTATCAAATTCCACTAACTGTTCAGCTCTGGTTGTTTGATTATAGAGATTCCATAGTTAGCATTTTTACAGAAGGGCTTTTTCACACTTAGTACATGGAATCATATTAAAAAGTTATAATGCATAAGATAAGTATTAAAACTTCATTATTTAGTAACTCACAAGTACTTTCTAAGGAACTGAACTGTCAATTTGTTTTACTACCCACAATTATTTTGAGTCCCAAGAACCACATTATTGACACTATATACAGCACTCCACTACTACTGCACCTGTGACATCAGACTGCTTACTTGAAAGATGGTGAGACTGAATATTTTCATGGAGATCATCTATTTCATTTGCTGACTCTCACATCACACATGCCATCCTCATGTGTTTCTTTGTGTACTAACTGTTTCAGCTTATTACAGTGACTGCAGATAATTTTCAGACAAATGAGTAGAGTCTAAAGCCTAGTTCAATCCTTATTTCCACATCTGTCATTTTTGAGGCTAATCTTTCAGACTACAATCTGTTGGAGCATGTTCACCAGTCTGAACATGCAGCATGAGACAGCAAAATCAACTTCTGTGTTTTATATGGGAATCTATCTATCTATCTGTGGGATAATAGTTTGGAACAAGAGACATGTTAATGGGAGTTCACAACCCCTCCATCCCCTATTATTGATGTTATTGAGTATTTATGATCTTTGACATAAGTTAACGTTAACTACACTCATAAATGGCATCACATCCTTACACCAAACAAAAAAACTATCAATGTTTCTATAACAGAACATACACACAGTGTGGGGTGCAGGGAACACAAGGATCTTATATACGTCAGAGAGTTTGCTAGCATTGTCTATGAGGAAATGCAATGAAAAAATGGCTCCCAATACTGCAATAATACATAAATTCAGATGAAATTTATACTACAGCAGCCACCATAACGCTGATATGAAGAGCCGTTTTTTTAGTTATACCCACTTCTTACTTTGACCCATGACCTTACAACTTCATCCCGTAAGATACTTCTGTGGCCAATGACCGTCAATTAATTAATAACAGGAAACAGTGTGGAAGGACATTAAGAGCTGGGTTTTGAAAGTGGGTAACAGAAAGTACCCCTACTGCTTGCACATTTAGGCTGCTACCTCTTTGTACAAAGTCAACCTGACCATCAAACACTTTATATCATGTTTTAAGTATATACATAGCAAGTTCTTAAAGCTCATACAAAACTTTAGGTTAAGTAATAATGAATACTGTAATAATGTTATGTTATTAATAAACTGTGTGAACATTAGGATTTTTGTGTTATTTGTCATAGCATCCAACCCCCACATTCATAACCCAGACAAACGACGTGTACCTTAGCTTGCAAGATATGAAGCAGCACTCACAATTCTTATATAATGACTTATAAAATGAATCTGAGGGTTGGTTAACATTAAGACACATAGGTTTCATGCAACTATTTATTGCTTTTACCACCAATCATACTTTTATGAAGAGAATGAATTATTCTTACACTCCTTTTGAAGAAAACCTGTGTACCCATCACTGGTTCGACAAGTTCATTCTTCATATCCTTTCTTTACAGCAAAAGTATTTTCAAACCCAGAATTGCAGACAGAATTCTGTTGGATAACCTCGTATATAAAACAATGAAGAAAACACCCAAATGGGTTTTCAAAGATCTTACAAAACTGAAGTTTGTCCAAGAAAGTCTTGATAAATTCAAGTATTCAGCATCATTCAGATCTACCAAAGTCTATTTTACTTCATCGTTTAGCTACTGCGGCTACATCTGTGACCTACAAAAGATAAATTATATCTATTCTCTTATAACTGCAATGGGTTTGGTAAGAATTGCTTTCTGTCCAGCTGACTTTCTCGGCACCAGGCTGCAGCAGGGATGACAATACCATGCACCATGGGTTTGTGATAGAAGTAGTAGAGCAGAGTGCAGTTGAGAAATACAGCAAATTCACCATGACTTGTCTGCTGATCTGAAGTTCAGTCGCTAACTGGTATACGTAAGAAAGCACCAAAACTTGAATGTAGAGAAGAAGCATATCTTTCAGTTTCACCATCATTTGGAGGGAGATCAGATACTAGCATCTGAAATAATAGTACTATTGGCAGCATTTGGTACAAATCACATCATCTTTGGAAGGAGTTTTGTATTTCACCATTACGTATTCCTCATATGTCTCTTCTCTTTTGAGGTCCACAAGTCACGTGGCAATCAACATGACTAAATGATGTCTTAAATTAAGTCAATGTAAGCCTTTAAAAACATTCATTAAGCAATCTGGCAGAACACTATTGGTTCAATAATTTAAAAAATACCACAATTTCATAAAATAATATAATTTATTAAAAGTAACTATGCAACTGGCTCTATTGACCAAGTTGTTATTTTATTGGCCGATATGTACTGTGTACGTAAGATTAGTGTAGATTAATTCAGTGGTACTGTCTTATTGCACATTTACATCATAAAATAAACATTTTAGGCATTTCAAAATATAACAACAGATAGATCTTAATACTTTAGAAGAAATAAAAGTTTTTGTGACAAAATATCTTTAAATAATGTTATCTTTTAATATTTATCACATCTCACAATGATAAACATCATACTGAACAATTAAGTTGTTTAATAGATGCCAATTGCACTGAAAAATAACCTTGAATTGAACAAAAATGCACAAAACGGCCAACGTAGGATTTGATATACACGAAGAGGAGGAAGATGCAATTAATCTGACACTAGGTAACATTACATAATAGGCTGCAAATGTAACTGTTATATAAAATTAATTAGGCCTACAATGCCTTACTTGTGTGAACACAAATGTGCTATAGCTCAACATATTTAAGATTGTTTTGTAACAATATCAGTACCAATGTGTTTCCAGCCAAGATACTAAAAAACCTATAAATCAGTGAAACATTTCACGTCTGTTCACCGAGAAAAAAACAAATGAAATTTCATAGTCTGTTAATCTTACCTGATAACAGTTCTAAATGTCCAGGAATTTTCTTCCAGTAATCACCAATGAAATTAGTTTCAGAAATTCCAAACCGTCTATATACATCTCCTTCCACTGTCAGAGCCCAGACTGTTTCTTCACTCAGAGCCAACTGTTTGGCCTGTATCCCTGGCACGTTAACCCAATCTGTTCCCACAGGAAGGTCAGAGAAAACACCTTCCCTAACAAACACATTGTTTTTGTTGTCAATAGCCCACACCATAAAAAACTTGGGCCCAGTGTAGACCTGAAACAAGGAAAAGTTGTAGGCCTAAAATCGTGACAAAAGTCAAAGGAATTGAAGTGTTTAAATATCCAATGTCAAATATAAGAAATTACTTCATTTTCCTACCAGATAAAGAAATTTCTTATATACTGAGAGTGAATGATAGTCTTGTACTCTTTATTATTTATCATCCAGGCCACAGCTGCTACATTATAGAAACAAATAATTCAATGGGTACATTCTAACATTAATATATACAGTACACATTTACAGTTTTTTTAGTTGTGATTACTTCGAGTAAATCCTTTGTTTTTATTTATAAAACACTTTATTGTTCCATATTTCCCTTTAATTAAAGTAACAACTAAATTTTCCACTGATTGTATAAAACCAGGCATTACCTATGTTAACATTAGTACAGCTACTCATACACATTAACTTCTCAGCTGTGGTTTCCTTTTCATGAAAGTATGCATTTCGCCTGTTTCTGAGCTTTATCTTATTCAGCATAACAAATTTTGGAACAGTTACATGTGAAGTACGATCCCTGACATAAAGATATTTACAGACACTATACACATACGCACACCTAACAAAAATAGACAGAGGAAGGTAATGTGGATATCTGTACCTTTGTAAAACACGTGCTGGATATGGTGTAGGAACCAAGTAGATCAAACAGAGACTTTGTCTTTGGGTTTTCCTTTACAGAAACAACAAGACAGGTGACACAACACAAACAATACAGTGATAATTTTCACTGGTACAACAAATTGCTATATAGTTCTGCTGACTGTAAATGTAATTAACTGTTTGTAGTTTGACAAATAATAAGATAAAGTGCAGTCTTTTCTATGGTATGAGTTCTAAAAGATAAAATACCCAAGTTTAAGATCTGGGAGAAACAGAAACTAGTAATTTTGTTAATTTTTAGAAACAAAGTAAACAAAACAAGAATTCCAGTTTTTAAACGCAAATAATATTTTTTTCATAAACTGATAAAAAAAAAGGAAGAAATAGAGAATTATTTATTAAATTTTGTAAAATGTTAATAAACAACTTTAACATTTCCATATTCTGGTAATATATAATAATGAAAATTAAATATTTATTGTATTTCAAAACTATTAGTGTTATTAATATTTTTACATTATATGCTTACAGGAAATATCTTTGCTTTTGTAAGTACCTACTATATTTTGTTTGATTGTATACTGATCATTAGCCATTAAACCTAACATCAGTTCATTACTTCCATGAAGTAGGGTCCTTACCTTACTCAAGGACCCTGGTATGACAGTAGTTTGAGTATCAATGACTATCCATGCTTGAGGAAGGTTGTGCACAGATGGTGGTTTTAAAGTACCCAGTCTCATCATCACAAACCCATTATCATCACATGCCCAGACTGACTGATGGGAGCAGCTGATGTACGTCAATCGAATTTCACCTGATGGTCAGAATATACTGATATCTAACTGTTTGTACTTGTTTACAACATAATAGAAATGCTTTTGGTTGTCTATTGCAGTTGTTACTAGAGTAGTATTTTAATTCTTTTCCAAACAATAAAAGTTAACATTTTACTTAAATCGAAAATGTATTTCCAAAACATACATACCTCCCCTCACACTACAACTATTACTTGACCACCAGGGTTTCTTCTTTGCCCATCTAAGCATTTGTCTGATTTTTTCTCGCTTGCTCCAGTCTTTTATACCCCACTCAATTGCTCTTGGCAACATTTGTCTTGTGACACTCTCCACCTACATTAATGTGTCCTCTATCCTGGTACTGTATATAAGCACCTCATTCAGATAATTTTATCCCTTTTTCGAGATTGACTCAATCTGCAGTCTCTAACACCAGCTCTTTGTGGGGAGGAAGGGTGGGAGAGTGTGAGTAGAGGTAAGTATTATTGGAAATACACTTTAATTTAGGAAAGTGTAAACTTCCAAAACATACTTACCACTTCTCACACTACAGCTAGAATCCCACATTGATAAAGTGGAGGAGCCAGTGAGGGCACTATACATACAGATGGCATCTGCATAGGTAAGTTTTTCTTGTCTCCAGAATCATGGAGAGGATGTGAAACAAATTTTGCTCAATCATGGACTGAGTATGAGACCACTCAGCTTTAGGTTTTACAAGGAAACAATGGACCCTCTTCCATGAACAATGTAGTGAACCAATACTGATCAAAAAGAAGGGCTACGATCAACCCAACCGGGTAGCCGACCATCAAATCTGAACTGGTATTACAAGTAGGCTCCCGTGTAGGCTAGAGCCTCTCCTACTTACATCTGAGAAAAAACATCCAGGTAGGAGGACTGCCAACTTTGTCCTCTTCTCCAAGAGTGGGGGAAATTCTCTCTAACACTCTGGGGGAAAAGCCTCTGTCCACCACCCCAGTGACTGTAAACCAGGTATGGTAAGGACTCCCTAGCTCCACTTTTAGAATCTGAGAGGTAATGCGCAATCGGGAGTCCTGAGAAACTGTGCTCCGGAAACAGTGCAATAGGTGAACCAAGTTCCCTAAATTTTTAAAAGCAAACCAACCATGATTACTTCAATCCAATGATTGGCAGGATCCCCTTATGCTTTACTCATAATAGTCCATGAGTGGTGGTCCAGCATAGTACAGTAATACCACCCGGTCAGCCCCTAGGTGGTCTTATGGAACAACTCATTTCTAAAGAGCCTATTACAACCTAGATAAAGTATATTGAATTAGTGGTTGCTAGTGTGGTATTGGTTTGATAAAAGCACACCTGCCTAGGCACAACTCACCACAGAGTGGGATTCTGTGAAAATGAGGTAAGGGACCCTGGAAAGTAAAGAAGAGACAAGCATAGCAATGAAAATACTCACCACTCCAAATAACCTAACGGAAGTGGTTAAGATAGCTACAAGGGGTAGTCAAAAACCCACAGAGGAATATACTGCCAGATCATGCAAGTATTGTGAGAAGTCCACATACCAGCCCACACAATGTCCTCCAGCAGGCAATTCAACTGGGCCCCTAAGGCCATAGAAATGTGATTAATCTGGTTATACACGACTCTCAGAAGTCTCCTCACCTTCAAAGAGCCCAGAATAAGCAATATGAATCAATTTCGTACCAACTCGTCAATGCAATTGGGGGAAAATCCTGGGAAACTGAATGATTCCAATGAATAAAAGATCATTGTCTAGCATCTCTAAAGGCATTAGTGCAAACAACAAAACCTTCAAGACCCTCACTGGACATAACAACAATAGAAATCTAATCGGACATAGAAGTATGAAATAGTGAACAGATGAATCAGTGAAAAGGATTTATCCCTTTCCCTGGCTGACAGTGTCTTAGAGAAGAAGAACCAGTATGAGAATATAGATAGAATGATAAAGCATCCTGTGGACAATCAGTGCAAACCAATTCGACCAATGATGTCTGTATGTCAGCAGCAATGAGAAATAAACCTTCAGGAAAAGGTGTTACATGGCACATGAGGCTAAGGTCTCAAACAAGTGTTGAAAAAGGGCATGCAATGCCACCTTAATATACCAATTAGGTAACTGGAATGGTTGTTTGGGACAAAGGACCCAAAATGACTTCAGGGAGCCAAAAAGTACTGGGGACTCAAAGAATTTTTGTCTCTAGTATTAAACAGTAGTCGATAAGGCTGCCTTATGCATCCATTGCCAAAGCCCAAAGGTAAGATACTGAAACCAAATTGCCAGTAGTTGGGTGTTCCAATGAGGGGCAAACCCACCAATCAACAGTGTTTCAAAATGAGAGCCAATCCAACAGAAAACCTCATGATTCAGCATCTATTATGTTGGGAGAATCTGTTTAGGTCAAGACAATTGATCTGCCGCTGAAGTCATCACCTGTGGAACATGGCAAGTTAGTAGAGTGATATGATAAGATTGGTCCTGAGAAAGGAGATCCAAGGTTCATCAACAAAAAGTCTTGGATCAAGTGCATCTTTGATGGGAAATGCAAGACACCACTGTGGAATTGTCAGAGTGAGGCCTGGTGATTTTTCCTTTAATAAGCCCAGACAAAGAGTCATCACCTTTTGAAGAGCAAAAAGGTCTTAAAAATTGTATTGTGGTGCCTCGTCATCCGTGCATAGATCCTGGAATTCCTGACTGTTGAGATATCCACCCCATCCCTGAAGCTAGGCATTCATGAAGAGATGGATCTCTGGATAAGGTGGTGGCAGAGGAACCCGTATTTTAGTAATTCCCTGATCTAACAACCCCTCGAGATCAATGAGAATGATCCTGAATTCGAAAACTGGGAAAACCAGTGAATCTATGCTTATGATCCATTGGTCACATAAAGACCACTGAGTGGATCTTTTGTGCACTCATCCCAAAAGCATGAGGGATTCCAATGATGCACACATTCCCAAAAAAAAGAAAGAACCATCCATGTAGTAGGAGAAGGAGATGTGAGTAACAGTTGGACTTCCTGTTCCACATTGTGAAGCTGGATGGGAGTCAGCTGAGCCCAACCGAGATACATGATGAAAAAAATACCCAGATTAATAACAAGTTGTGTTGGAGTGAGAAAAGATGTCTCAGCTCTGATAATGAAGCCTGCCTTGGTTGTTTCTGATAGTAGAATCTAGGTGCCATGCTCTAACAATTGACGAGATGGTGCCAACAGTAACTAATTGTCCATTGAATGGTGAGTGCATAGGGCTAGGGAATGGAGGTGACAAGAAAAAGCTCATATGATTTTGCAGAACCCATGTGGTGCCAATGCTAGTTCAAAGGTAAGAACCCTGAACTCGATAGACTAACTGAAGAAAAGGAGTCTGAGGCAGCTTATCCCAAAGTGGCCTTCTGAGAAGTCAACAAAATAAAAGGCGCAGAAAAAGTGAATCTAAATTCTCTCTAGAATGTTCAGGATTGCCCTCAATTGCAGTCTCAGAGCCCCCTGGAGGAACACCACTGAACTGAATATATGTCTCCATCTCACTATGAATAAGATCACTGGCAGTCTCAACTGAGAGTTACCCCTCCCAACTGTTGAGTGATGCTAGATATCAGAGGCGGGATAGGAGAGACCTAATTTGTCTCTGTATTGGAAAAAAAAATCCAGGAATTCATGCCATACATTGACTTGCCAAACAAAAACTAAATTTTTTTTTTCCTTTACGAAAATCAACTACGTAACAAAAAGAATGCTCAAAGTATCTCCAGTGGTCATAGCACAGAGAAACCCATTAATGAACTTCTTGTTGAGAAAAAGTACAGGATAGAAAGCACATTGGCATAGGTGGAGAGCATCACGGGACAAATATCGCCATCAGCAATTAAGTAGAGTATAAAAGACTGAAGCAAGTTAGAAAAAAATCAGACTAATGCTTAGATGGGCAAAGGAAGAAACCCTGACAGTCGAGTAATATCTGTAGTGTGAGAGGAGGTAAATATGTTTAACAACAATGATTTCCCCTTGAAAAGTAAAAAGCCAGTATTAATTGTTATTCGGTCTTGCATATTGAAGAGATTTTAATGCTGAACATTTTCAGTTAAAAGTTTAGTTAACAAGGCTACGGGTGGGGGGAGAGGGAAATAGTTCATTTTTAACCACAGATAACTGTATATTGAGTTTATCAAATTAAAATCAATAGTAAATGCTAGATGAGAAATTACACTGAATTATTTTTCTCCTAATTCATTATGAGATTTCAAAACACACAGAACTTAAATACACCAATTAAAATGAAAAGGATTTTATGTGTATGTAGGCTGTCTCACATATAGAACTATAAGTAAAGTGTACATATATTTTGAAGTGTTTTTGATGTACATTAAAACTAATTGGGGACTGGGATTAAATTGTTAGCAATTTAAAGGAGGTTGTTTAATTCACATAAGCTACAAGTATAATTTTTAAATTAAGTTATAAATAGAATTCAAATGTTGTAAAATAAGTTTAAATTATAAAATACCTAGTTGTCCAATATCTAGCTCAACCCATCCAGAACCTATCAGACAATGTTCAGTTATTCCTCGACGAATGAAAATCCTTCTACTTTGAGTCAAGATCCACAAGGCTTCGGGGGCAGGACAGAGACATCTGATCTGTTCGTTAACAGGAAGAATTACAGGAACTAGGTGATCGTGATGGGGTGAAACACAAAATAACTCCCCTGTTTTGAGAACAAGCCATATCATGCCTGAAAGACAAAATTATAAACTTCATATACTTCAAAACTAACTTAACAGTTCCAAGATATTATCAGCTGAGATTACCATATTTCCCATAAAAGAATCCCAGTCTGTTATCTAAACATATTTAAAACTGTCCACACACGTGGGAAAATGGGAAGCAGCATCTTTAGAAATCTCAACATTTTAGAAATGATGAATAGAAAATAAAATATTTTGTGCAACTTTTTACAAATTCATGTTTCCTGACACAAACATAATGATGTTTGTTTTACCAGTACGGACTTACTTCGATATGTCAAAAGTATTAACACTAACCTTGATTTTTATATACCCCACTTGCAGATCCTATGATCCATTTTAATGATTCATGCTTCTTGACCATGGTTACTTTTTCCCAGCGATGTCCTTCAACAAAAATGTACTTTTATACACAACTTTACATATATAGCATACCAACTACTGTTAATATTTGAAACTTGAAAAAAAAACATATATATATATATCAATTTAACATTAGCACACTGCATGACAAGAATCTATGTAATCCCCTTAATCTTTAAACAGCAGCAAGTCTATAGATATTCAGGTCACGAACATTATTTGTGTATTTATTAGGAAAATAAAATGGAGACCCAAATAATAATAATAAAAAAAAACAAGGTCAATTTTCTCTAACAGCACTAGATTAGATTGGATGTGTATTCACTTAATAAAACCTTGACCTCAAACTACTCTGCTATACTAACAGTCTGTATTAGTTTGATATTCATTTGATGATGAATTTTCTCATGGTCTCATGGACAACTTTTCAAGAAAAATTGTGTGCAATTATGTAACATGGTAACTTATGGTATAACACACTATTAAATGTTCATCAAGGTTTTACTATTTAATCACTAATTCTTTAGAAGTAATTAAAAACAGCTTTCAGTTGTAAACAATTAAATTTCACTATTCTTTGTTCTAGTAATTTCAGCAAAGAGTAAGATAGACTGTTTCACTTCACTTAGTACATTAAACTTATCAGACCAGGTTACCACATATTACTTATACTTTTACAATCATTTGTCAGAAATATCTGGAGCTTTTTACCAACAGCTTTCTTTCCAGAAAAATACAGTGTTGTTCCAAGGGGGGCACAGTAGTACACCCCCTTTGATGAGCAAGTGATGCAAGCTCGTTGGTGACCCAGAAACAGATTGGACAGTTTCTCGGGAGTAAGCACAACTGCCAGGTTCTTAATTTTCAGAGACTTAGAAATATCCTGGAACAAGTAATCGCTCATTTCCACCTAACAGAAGAAAAATCACTGGTCAAACAAGATGATGAATTCTGATGATAACAGATACAATGACCAGCAAGTTAAATTTCACGTAATTTATCCTTTATTCCTACAGTAAAATGAGAACTATTTATCATACATAAATGATTATATCCAACAACAAGGATACAGCCTTGTATGTACAGCATAACAGAACTTATAGGGATGAATTAAAAAGTTCATTCAGTAAATGAAAAACTTGAAAACATTAGTAAAACAACAACTGTGTGTGTGTTGTGTATTAGGAACAGTCCAAACAGTAATTTCTTAATAAGTGATTATATAATGAAATAATTTGTTCTTGTACATCAAATCTGTTTCTTTAACCCTAACTACAATTAACTAAGATCATACTGAAGAATTAACAATTGTGAAGTTACTTTGTATATTTACAAAATTTGGTAGTCTTTTAGTAAACATAAGTATGTTGTACACAAAAAAAACTGACTTCTACTAAAAATTTGTCTGGAAATTTACTGAGTCAGTCTGCATGAAATGTGAATTTTCTTCATGATAGGAATAGAAATACGTATTTTCATTTTAAGGTTTTCATATTTCATATAGCATTTCATATTTTATCTTTAGATTTTCCTACACAAACAGAATATAGATTATGATTCTAGCATCATAATCTAAGTATGATGAAAAGAATGATTGAAAAACATTAAATAAATTGAGTGACACAGTTGTTTCCTTTTCAATGTTGACATAAAGTTAGGAATTACTTACATTCACAGTTTAAACCTTTAATTTTTTATTAAACATGTTTAGTGTTTCATTTTTATTTTGCCATATGAAGCAGTAATCCTTCTGTACAATAATACAATAAATCACGGCATGAGTCATTACTCCACTTCCATCAGACAGTAACACCACACCTAATAATCATGCAAATCTCTCAGTCATATCTCAACAAAGCAGTAAACTTTGAGAGAAATTTACATTATGGCTTCGCAATATTACTATAGTATTACTATAATATTACTATTAGTAATTTGTTCCAAACTTGGAAGATCAAAGGGTTGAAGGAAAAATCTAAAATGGGCAATTTGGTGAGCAACTGCATCATGTGATACAGAGAGGTTTAGATTGAGATATTAAATATTTTCTGTTGAAATTAAGAAATTAAAACCGAAATTAGAATTTGATTCATTACCACAGAAAAGTAGACAAATTCATAATTTTAAAGTAAAACAGTACAAATCTGTAACTTAAGGTGCCAGTATTTTGTCAAATACAATGATATTTACGTAACCATACATTACACGTGTGTATATATATGTATGTGTATGTATATAAATATATATATTACTATTTACTCATAAATGCTTACATTTAACTTATCATTGTTCCAATATAAAACAATAAAAAACAAAGTGCATAAAGACAACATTTTCTAGTATTTACAATGTTACACAATGTACTTGAGACAACGTAATCGCTAACTGTCATGCTGGGCCTGGTTGATTTTCTCAAATTGCAGTGAACATAATTTTGTAGAGTTTAAATCTGCATTTTACAAAACAAAACATTATCACTCACTACAATAGGACATCACAAACCTACAATAAGTTATCTGACTTTCTAAACAGGATTAAAAATATTTCTTTGGAGCAATGATTTTAGTAAGTACACTTCAACATCTCATATGGAATTTCAGCCTTCCTCACTATAAAATTGACAAACAACCATCAGGCTTATGTGGTACAGGATCTGCTTTTTCTATTGGTTATAAACATGTACTTGAGACAGGTAGCATGAGTAACAGTGGAGAGATGGGAGAGGTTCCTCTGGTCAGTTTGCTATATATACATATTGATATCTCAGCAAATCAAGGTAGGCAGTTCTTATTTTATACAAGCTAAAATACCATCAACTGACAGGGAATGTTTAAACTTAATTAAAACAATGCAAGTTTAACAGCAATCATATACTTCAAAGTAACAACTTGAACGTAAACTTTATCTGAAAATTGTAAAAGTATAACAAAGCTTCTTCATAAACAACTTTTGTAGTTTGCTTTCCTTCTACCAACAAATTAAAACTTTGAAGTACTCCCACCCTAGAAAATCCTACATCTTATTGACCATGAGAAAAGCATGGTGATTTTAGAAACAATTCAGTAACTTTCATACTTTGACCTTGAATCCCTTTAGAATATTCAACATTGTGTAAGGTGTCAACTTGCCAAGATTGTTTGAGATTGACTCAATAGGGTGGGAGTTATTAACCTACAGGCTTTACAAAATATAATTAAGATTAAGTTCAATTTTGACACCTTAGGACATTTCCCATAGTTCATAGTGTTTATATACACATTTTAGTTGAGATTGGCTCAATAGGCTCAGAGGAGTTCGGGTGCAAACAAACACACATTTTGACTTTATATATATATATATATATAATTTTAGCATGTCAGTACATGAATCTTTAACTGGTTAAGTACTGTTGATATTTTATTGTAAAAGTAAAAAAATTTAAATTGAACAATTTATAGCACAGATGTGTCACATGACATTTTGAAAAATTATTTCTTTTAGAATTAAGAAATTAAATCTTAGATAATATTAAAAGTTGATTTATTAACTATGCTTTGATGCTAATTGATAATAAAGTATTTTAAATGTAACTATAAAAAAAAGCTGTGACATGCATATTTTCACCCCACCGGTGCATGTAGTATTAAGACATTAAAACAGTAACCTAGAACTCTGGAAATTATTTATGTCTAACATTTCAGAAAGTTGGATAGTATTACATGTACATGTGGTATGTACGATGCTACTTGAGTCCCAGTAATTATATTGTTATATCTTTGATGAAACCACCAAATAGTTAAAATGGTTCAAGAGTTCACAGCAATGTTCTAAATAATTTTATCAATCCATGTGCAGAATGAATTTTTTTCATTTGCACCAGTATTTTTTCTTTTCTATCTTTTTTTTTTATTTTTTTTTTTGGGGGGGGGGGTTTATTTTTTAGATCATCAACTCCATTGCTACCAGTTGGTTATTTGGATGAGATGAGTATGGATGAGAGAAACAACTCTGAAGATGAGACTGATCGGAGGGTAAGCATACAGGTGAAGGTCCCCCTCAATCCTGATTGAATGCATCCACCCCCAGAGCTGAGGTATGCGGGACAGGAGACCAAAAGAAAGTTTGGTATTCCAATGAGTAGCAATCGCATCTATATGAGGCATACCAAGGCGAGAACACACCCACAGAAAAACTCCAGGATGAAGGGACCACTCCATAGGAAGAACATGGTTGGAGCAGAACCGGCAGTCTGGAATCAGATTCATAATACCCAGAACATGACACGCCAAGAAAGTGATGTCATAGCTGTGGGCACATTGTAGTGCCAATCGAGACAGTGAGGATTGTGTTGCAAGGGTAGAGGGAGCTATCTGCACTAGTATAATGGGGTTGGTGGAGGGTGGTCACATGATCAGCACATGTTGCTGCATTGACACAAAAAATATAGGGGTATAAAAGACTGGTGCGCTGTTCAAAAATTTAGCAATGCCTATAAGGCAAATGAAGGTCAAGATAGGAATTCCAAGATAATAATAATAATAATAGCATTTTCAAAACGTTGATTTGGAAAGCATTTCACTTCAGTTGAATTAGTGCTCATCTGGGAGCATCCCTCCATATCACATTAGTCTGAAATTTTACCATAAAGCACACATAAGAAGATAAAGTACATTTTCTATTTACAAAATAGTACATTTCTTACTCTAGGATAGCTAATATTTAAGGCAGGAAAGGTGAGGCAACATTTACTATTACATTTAACCAATTTTAGCAAAAAGGAATCTGAAGAAAAGTGATCATTTTTAGGGTTTGGAAAGCCCAAAACATGTAATAAAGATGTTAAATTTATACAAATATGTGCAATAAGTCAGTTCCATATCACAGTTAGTTAATTAAATGTTTTAATTTTGTTCAAATTACATTAAGTAAATTTTACATCAATAGTAAAGGAAGAACTATAAACAGCACTAAACCTATGATAATTAGTAAGTGTTATAAGCACCAGGGGGAGAAAATTATTTTTTAACAGCTACCTTTCCACAACTGGTTGAAGAAAATTAAAGCTGGTAAGTAACATCATGATCTTGAGCCTCATCTGCTCTTCTCCTTATGCAGATGTTGAAGCTTACAAGCAAAGGCAACCTGATAGATGGTGTTGTAAATGATTTCCTTCCTATTAATCTAAAGTTAAATAAAATTCTTTCGATTTTGTTTAAATGATCTGGATACCCACGAGTGCATATTTGTACACACACTGTGTGATAGTTATCAGTTTAACTTCTTCTCCTTAAATAAAACACCTACCTCCCACCACTTATCATCCAAACCATTAGGTAAGGCACTTGTAACTCCATCACGAAACCAGATTGTTCCTCGGTCATCCACTACCCATGCTGTGTGATTATTGCCTAGAGTCATGCTACTTACTGTAAAAGTTGATTCAGACCTAGAAGTAACAACATCATCATCATAATTGTAACACATTTCTAATTTAAAGTACCACTCCAGTTGTCAGGTATAAAACAGAATTTCACATCAATCAGCAATATATTCAAAACAAAATATTTCATACTACTACTCCAAGCTTTTATTTTATTTCATATGCTAATACTCTGTACATTTAAAAATCTTTTCACCGTATTTCTAGCTTCCTACATTTGTGTGACTTTCTTCAGTATGTTACATATTGAAAATAATTATGACTACTATAACACACAGCTGCTGATTCACATGTCATGTGCAGCTATTTCCCTGAAAGGGGGCCTAAAGCCACACCTGTTTTAACCACTCGCACAACTAAACAGTACTGTGTTGTCCGTCAGTCACATAAGGGAAGCTGAACATTACAATTTGCACTGTTGTGATGTTGATAAAATGTGTGAATGCCATGAATGGCAAGAAGAATTATGCACTCTATAGGCTACAACACAGCATGACATATGAACTTCAAAAGCAAGAAATAAAAATATTTGTTACTCTTAATTTTGGTTTTATTTACTCTTGAAACAGAAAATTTTGGGGGCCCCTGCAGAATTACATCTAGTTTTTATTATAAACTTTACTTCAGTGTTGCCAGAAATATGTACCTGACTTTTTTCCATTCAGTACCTGCCGGATTCTTCTCAGAAATCCCAGCTCTGTATACCAGCTCTCCACCCGAGGTAAGTCCCCACACAACACCTTTCCTGCAAGCCACTTGACGGAGAACGAATCTACATTCTATCTGCATGGACTTGTAACAGGGGCGAGATATGGACAGATATTGTTGTGTTCTTACTTCACAATTATTTTTTATGTACCTAGAACAAAAGAAAATCTCTCCTTTTTGTTTCAGAAACAGAAAAAGAATTAAGCATTCTGAAAACAAAGTTCTGTAAAAAAATGACACGGTTTCTGCTGATTAGCATAATTGACCAATTAAAATATTTCAATGTTTATACAGTTTTATCATATTTAAATATATACGTGCAGTTCATTGGTATCCATCATCTGGAACAGTACTGAATAAGATTCATTAAACCTCTTCTCATAGTCCTACAGGTTTCATCAACAGTGTTAAAAATAACATCTTCATCTACTTCCTACCGCTCTGCTCTAAACACCACAAACACAAAACCTAACATGCACAGCTACCACCTACACCAATAAACAATATATCTTCATCTACTTCCTACCGCTCTGCTCTAAACACCACAAACACAAAACCTAACATGCACAGCTACCACCTACACCAATAAACAATATATCTTCATCTACTTCCTACCGCTCTGCTCTAAACACCACAACCACAAAACCTAACACAGCTTCCACCTACACCAATAAACAATACATGTTCAGCTACTTCCTAATGCTCTGCTTCAAACACCACAAACACAAAACCTAACACAGCTTCCACCTACACCAATAAACAATACATCTTCAGCTACTTCCTACTGCTCTGTTTCAAATACAATAAATACAAAACTTACCATGCACAGTTTTCACCAACAGAAATAAATGATACATCTTCAGCTACTTCCAACCACTCTGCTCCAGAAAGAACCTTTCTTATCCATGTCTTAGCTGCATAAACCTTTCCTTTGTATAACACCCACAGTATGCTTCCAGTGGGAGAAACAGCAACTTGATGAGCTGGGCGATCAGCTTGAACCCATTCATAGCTGAGGCCAGAAAATCTTGTGTAGTATACATTCTCTTTGTTGTCTACACAACAGAGGAAAGAGTCACACAAGCTGAGACTCACAACTGGGCCTGGCAATTTGAACTGAAGCCAGTTGGTGTCATAAATACACCTGTTCTCAGACATATCAGCACTTGTTTTAAGCTTTGATGTCTTGTCAAAAATACCAGCACTGTATTTTTCTATACTTTGACTAGATTCAGCAGAGGCTTTTTGACAAGATTTATTCAACTGAAAGTAAGTGTCTTTCTCATTTTTCAAATATGAATCAAAGACATCGGTCAAACAAGAACTTGAGCTTAACTCACTATCTTGTCGACCAACCGGACGCCTGGTGTGGCAAGCATAAATAGAATCAAAAGATGCCGAGTGTGCAAGAGAAATATCTTCCTGTTTTTCAGAAGTCATTTCATCAGCTTCATTGTCCCTTTCCAAACAAAGTGAATCACTAAATTTTTTAACTCGTTTTCCAGATTCTTCTCCTTGAGCTTTGTTGATTATTTCTTGTGAGTTTTCTTTCTGCTTATTATCATCTAAAGTTAATTGCTCTCTTGCTTTCTGTGGTAACCAATTTTTACTTTCTTTATTTCTTTCTTCAGAAGCGTGGGTAGTTAAACTGTTATCCTGTTTTCCTAAATCTAGACAGCATTTACTTTGATCCTGATGTTGATCAGTTTCAGGTACCTCACTTTTCTTACCATCAGTTCCAGGTACCACACTTTTCTTATCATCCATTTCAGGTACCTCACTCTTCTCACCATCAGTTCCAGGTACCACACTTTTCTTGTCAACCTGGTCTGCAGAGTAATTAAACTTATCTGGGGTTTCTAGCTCTGATAAAGAACATGTACTTCTTTCACTGTCGCTGTATCCTGATGAATCTTGTACACTCCCACACAAAGACCTGCTCATTGGTGAACAATATGCATCTACTCCCAAAGTGACAGCTTTGAACAAAGGAGAAACAACATCACTGCCCCGACCTATGTGTGAAATAATCAAAACTATGTTTCAAATATGGAAATACTTCAAATACACTATACAAATTCAGTATCATTTTACATCTATTGTTTTCGAAAAAATAAACAAGCTCAATATAAATCTCTACCAGTGTGAGCTTTAACAAGCATGAAGCCTCAAGAAAGAGGGTAATTACATCACACAGTCCATTAGTTAGCTAAATGCTAGCAGGAGGTTTAACAGAAAATCCCCTTGAAAAAAAATTAAAAGAAAGGCTCAAATTAGGTGCTTGTTATTTTAAGTGACTAAACATATCTAAACATATTTTTGCAAGAGATAAAAAAATAAGGACAATGTTTTAATTACAAGTGTTACTTTTAAGTCACCAGGGCAAAGCCTCAAACTGTAGCTAGTCTTCCTTGAGCTTACAGCTAGCACCAACAGGGTTACAAAGAATACCACTTAAACCTTTACCTGACTTTAAATGAGAAGAGGTCTCTAATATATTGTTTATTTTTAAATCCATCTTTATATTAAATCATTGCAAAAAGAATGACAGAGCTTTTCTGTTAGGCTTAGCACTCAGGAACTGTTGACACTTCCAGTTAGACTTGCATTACTGAGCTTTTTCATATTTTATTCTCTTTAACAGAATAAACATTTCAAGCATATTTTATACATATAAATGACACCAGTTCATGAAATGTTGTAACTTAATAATGCAAGAGATAAATAGATATTTATCTATTTATAAAAGTCACACAAAACTATAAACGTGAAAAGTGCTTCACTTTTAAACACAGAATACTGTCCAAATTTGTGATAATACTAAATCACTCAAAAAAAAACAAAATCTCTAACTGTGAATGAACCAGGAAGAAATATTCTAACATCATGTTACTAAATTTGCATAATTACCCAAAACAACATTTTAATAAAGATAAATAAACAAACAGTAGAAACTTCTATAACTAATTTACAAAACTGCTATGTGAAATTTGTAAAAATCTTAATAGTTAGGCTTTAGTAGGCTTAATAGTTAGGCTTAATTTTTTAGGTAAATTAGTTCTAAAATAACTGAAAAAGAAATTAAAAAAGCAAGACAAAATTTGTTAATAGACTGCAACTTTCTCACTACAATAACAGAAATATGATTAAGAATGCTAGATGATTAATAAAATTACTAATTGATTAACTATCAGGCTCATTAATTAGTTACATTAAACTAATCAATTATTCTCATGAGACCTGGATAGTTGGAATAATCAAACCTAGTACCGATCAGAAACATTAATTTCATTTAGTTGATTATTTTCTTCAGTCATTAAAATAATCAATTAAGCTGAACAACCTTGAATTAATTGAAAACAATCATGAAAAATCATAATGGCAATATTTTGATTACTTAGATAGTTGGGATAATTGAAAATGTTAATAACCAGAAACTAATTTTGATTAACTGATAATTTTCAGGAGATGAATTGATCTAATTGTAATTTTATTCAATCAGTTATTTTATGTAACACTAGTTGATGTATTCAATGCTCTTTGGTAATTGATTGCCCAGTTCTAATGGTAAATAAAAAAAATTGAAGAAAATGTGTGTAACCTCTTTTCTTCTTTTTGTGTTTCTTTTTCACTTTATGACAATAAACAACTTCTTCAAAATCCTCTTCCCCAATTTTTGAAAACTCTTCAACCTTCCTATGGCCTTCTCCTTTTACAATAATGGTTGGCACAACAATGGATGACCTTATTTCAACATGAGGTTCTTGAACATCTTTTGTCTTATTTTCTTTTTCCACAGTTATATCTGGACTGATCGTTTTCACTTTTTCTTCATTCAGTTGTACAGCAGATGAATCGGAGTCAGCTTCATTTTCTGTGACTTCTAATGCTGTTTCAACAACACTTCTGGTCTGTGCCTCTTCCTCTCCTGTTACAGTAGTCTCGTAAACTTCCAATACATTTAAACAGTTGTTAAAACCATCATCACTTTTCTTTGCCTGTGGTTTCAACAGTGTTTTCTGGAGGTTTCCAAGCACAGATGAGAAAACATTAGTATGATCTTGGCTTCCATGGCCACGCTTATTATCTCTTGTATCCAAAGAAGACATACTTGGGCTTTTACTTTTAGTTAGCTGGGGACTAATCTTAGCACTTTCTAAAGTGTCTATGTATTTTCCCTTCACTAGAGTACTGATTTCTTTTAAAGGTGTCACAAACCCCTGTAATAACGTGGGGTGGTAGGACTCTGTAAGAAGTGAAAAAACATGTATTTGTTAACATAGTGAGAAATTTCAAATACAGCACTCATAAATAGTATGGTAACAAACAACAATGAAACTCAAGTTAGGTAGAATATTTTACAGGCCATGCAGATCATCACTGACAGTAAGCTAATGGAATAAAACCATGTAAAAGCAGGCAAGTATGGTGAAAAGATTAATCAAGTGTGAAATGAAATAAAACAAAACAGTACTAAACAAATAAACCTAAATCAAAGATTAGATTTTGTGTATGTATCCGTAGCTTTTCCATTACTGGTTCTATTTTGTGTAGCCTCCTCACTTGTGTAGCCAAAACATAAATCTGCTACTTGTTAGTCAACACCACATATTATACACAAAACAGGAACATTTTAGTACTTATTTCATCTTTTTAGTCAATATCACTTGTTACAGGTACAAAAAAAACATCCTAATCCTCCTCATTCACCTTGTTACTCAACATCACTTAAAACATGTACAACAGCAACACACTAGTCTTGGAAGTAAAAATAGTTACTTTAGGTAAATCATGAACACTTTAGTCCTCCAATTTCATCTTGTTAGTCAATATCAGTCGTTACAGGTACATCAGAAACACTTTAGTTCTTATATAACATTGTTGGTCAACATCACTTGTTATATTTACATCAGAAACATTTTAGTCCTTACATAACCTAGTTGGTCAACATCACTTGCTATATTTACATCAGAAACACTTTAGTCCATTGTCTTTCACTTTGTTAGTTAATATCACTTTGGTAAATTCTTAAATCAAACATTAAAACTAAATTCATAGTATTCATTATCTACTGTAATAAAACAACAATGATGTCTAGGCCTTAGAGTCCCTTCTTCTACCACTGATGGCACCGATAGTTTATTAATAGACTGCAACTTTCTCACTACAATTAACAATGAACCTGGTTATGGACTATTGTTCAGCAGCACAATTTCTCTAGTACATAAACTGTGTGTGGACAACAATTTCGGAAGGTTTGTGAGCAATCTAAAAACCTAAAGTGTCTATGAATGGTAAAACATGTTAACTTGCATGTTACAGAAATGTCTAGAATGAGTAATGGGATGCTGTATCAGTCCACACAATCGTGAAATTCCTCATACAATCGTCATATAATAGTGGTGGTCTGCTAGTAAGCAGAGTTTACCTTGTCATTTTTCTCGACTCTTTGGGTGTTTAACCTAACATTGTAGATGTAACATGCAACTACTGGGAAAAACATTTTGAAGATGTTCTATGTTATTTTTTAAATATTATATCTCAAGTAGGACCATAATACGTTACACGAACTTTTACAGACTTAAACAGATGTATGCTTCATCCAAGTTTTCGCTTGCCAAGTGCTGCTCGTTACAGTTTTCCTTCCAGTGTGGTGTTTTGCAGAGAAGCTAGTTAACACAGCTCTTGTTTTGCTTACATAAACTTTAGTCTGTGTAAATTACCTTGTTTACAGCTACCGGACTTATCTCTAATACGCAAGAAATTGTTCAATAATAGAAGATAGCATGCAGTGTTGGTCCATCTCATGAACTAGATAACTTAGAAAACTAGAAACTAACTACTAATCAACTAACTCAGTTGATTATTTTTTATTTATAAATCACACACATACTAGTTACACCGTGAAAGATTTTCTTCAAACTTTTTTGTTTCTCCAAGATTATAATCTGTACCCTTATTTGACAAAATTTTGTGTGTGATTGTGTGTGTCTGCTTATAACTGGTGAATTGCAGGGCCAGTCATTACCAAACTTGGCATGTATCCTTTGGGCCCCTGGAGAATAACATGGGGAGGTTGGTAATCATGTACGACACCCCATGTCTTCCACAAGTGTTGAATGGGTACGTCAGCTGGTAATTTTTTAAACAGGACCTAACATTGTTGCTTAGCCACTACGCTATATGGATATTTATTTATTCTTTTAACTTGAAAACTAGTCTGCATGTATAGATAGAAAATTTGTCTTAATGAAACCACTAGTCAATTTTTAATTCAGTTATACAACAATCATAAACCAAAAATGTTATAAAAAAAGGAAAATAAAATGTAACATTTAATTTTCGCAAATTCAATTTCGAATAAAATTTCCTACCGGCTACACAGAGAGACTGTTCAGGTTTTGTTGCAATCCTCATAAGATGTCTTGTTCCCTGAAGAATAAAGATTTCATCATTGTGTGTTGCAACATCCTTTATCGAGACAAAAGATTGTTTTCCAGCAACAATACTCTTGGTGATGGCATCTATCACATACAAAGCATTGTTATTCCATGTCAGAAGAAACCTTTGGTTATACACCACAATAGGGCCAAACTGAGACTCAGTTAATTTCTCTTGTGGCAGATCTTTCCACACACCCAACAACTGCATTTGAGGAAAGGGTTTGAGGATAGTATCTTTCAGGATAATAGTTTCAATAACCATGCCTTCCAGGTTAGCCTTCCATAACCTTAATCCAGGCCTTGAGGCATATACAACTGCATGGCCTTTTTGTGGAAATAAAGGAGAAAGACAAGCACCAAACTGTCCTTGGCTGAAAAAAAAACATAAAGGAAAATATTATCTTTCCTAGCCTAAATGCTGCCTCAACAAACAAATTCCCAAGCTGTGTAATGATCTCAATGTACTTTCATCAGAAATTGACAATTTGCCTTCTCAGACTCACAATTCTTTCAAAATACATTTAGATAGTATATTAGGCACTGAACTTGGTTTTGTACAGACTTCTCATACTTTTTTTTTTGTTAAGTTTAAGACATTTTGGGTTTTATGCTAGGTTCTTTATCATAGTTGATGATGTACTCAGCATGGACTAAAAGGACAGAAGTCCATAATAACTATTATCCACACATTGAAGAAACATTTTAGATAACTAAACAGACAGAAGTCCATAATAAGTATTATCCAGACATTAAGAAACATTTTGGATAACTAAATGGAAAGAAATCCAAAATAAATATTACCCACATATTGAAAAAATGATTTAGCTAACTACAGTTCAGAATAACTACAATCATCTTGTATTTCAAAGTTCTGAAAATGAATCATTTTCACCTTGGTAAACTGGGTATATTACAGAAAATCTCCAAAAATATATAATAATTCATACATACATGGAAGGAACTTTCTTCTTGGAAACATTTTAGGATTACATTTTCAAAAACCAAATTTGAAAAAATATTGGAGTAAAACAAACAATGTCTAGAAGCTACAAGTAAACAACAAACAATTACTAGTAAGCTTTACATCTTGCATAAACATTCAACAAACAATGACTAGTGAGCTTTACATCTTACACAAACATTCAACAAACAGTAACTAGTGAGCTTTACATCTTACATAAACATTCAACAAACAGTAACTAGTGAGCTTTACATCTTACATAAACATTCAACAAACAGTAACTAGTGAGCTTTACATCTTACATAAACATTAAACTTTTTCTGATGTAAGTAATTTTAAATTTGATAGACAGTTACTAACACCACACACTTTTTACATTTTATTTACTAGCTAAAAAATGAGATGGTTTTACAAAAATGTTTCCTAACACATTTGAATGACTTCACATCTCCTTAATAACTAGTGTTTACCCAAAGGTAACAGTATTTCATTACACACAAGCTATGGTGTCAATGATGTCACTTCCACTTAACTTGTGTTTACCCAACTGTAACAGTATTTCATTACACACAAGTTATGGTGTCAATGATGTCACTTCCACCTAACTTGTGTTTACCCAACTGTAATAGTATTTCATTACACACAAGTTATGGTGTCAATGATGTCACTTCCACTTAACT